AATAAAATTGGCTTTTTAAACTTTGGATCGGCATTTTGCACGACCAATTTCCGGTAATATACTGTAGGGGTGTGTATTATAATTTTATTTACAATTTATAATATATATTAGAATTCCAATTTGGATCCAATATATACAAACTCACAACCCTATATTAGAAAGATTTAAAAAAACAAATGGAGGATATATGCTTCGGGATTTATCCAAATCACTTGAAGTTCTTTCTATTCATGCTGAATTACGAATTGAACAAGATTATCGTTACAAGACCTATTATCGTGCCATTACAAAAAAAGAATCAATTACTTCATGGATTCCATTACTTTCTGATTATTGTGTAATTGGAAAATTTGGAAATATATATGCACATTTAGAAATTCAACATAATAATAAAGAATATCTCATATATCATTGGAGGCTTTACGAAGACATGGAAATATCACGAATATTAGGATGTGAAACTAAGTCTGATTTTTTTGCGAGTATAATAAAACACATAAAACAATCAGGAGAAATTTCTATTCCCGATATTCTTGGTCTTCGTAATGCTAGTATTATTTATAATTTACAAAACAAAGTAATAACAATTTATTCAAATCTTTTCAATATATCATCCAACAACAAAGTTCAAGATAAAATTATCCAACTAACTACTGTTATGCAAAGAAAAGGAGAAAAATTGCTTACGGAAATAAAAGCTCAAACTTCTTTGACAACTATTAAAACTCCAATAATTCATCATGGTATTGAAATAAAAGATTCAGGAATTCAACTTTCTCCTGAAGCAACTCTGGCACTTGCAATTGATTACAAAGTTTTGAGAAAATCTAATGATGCATCACGAAAACGGATAAAAAAAGCTAAAGCTGACAGTGAATATGTCAAAAACCTAAAATATAAATTGAATGAAACAAAAAATCAAGAGTTATTAGACAATTGGATACAAAAAGTTATGGAGGAGACTAATATCAGGTCAACAATTTTCATCAACACAGAGCAATATCTTACTAGCATATTTATTCAACCTTGTTCAACATGTCATAATCGTGATCTATCCAAAAAAAACTCAAAACTTATAGAATTGGTTACAGTCTTCGAACTACAATTAAATGCAAACTGTGTAAAGAAATCACAGAATATAATAATGAATCACCTGATCTAAAATTCTCTATTCTTGTTGCAGGTGCAGGATTAGTTGGTGACGTCAATAGACAACAACTTCAAACTATATTGTCAATGATAGGAATAACAGCACAATCATCAAAAAATCATTATCATGAAAAACAAAATGAATATTCAAAAATTATAAGTAAGGCAGAAATCAGTGCGCAAATTGCTTTAGACAAGGCTATTACATATATTAAAACGAAAGAACAAAGAATACTTTCTACAAGTTTTGATTGTTCTTGGTCGCATTGTCGAAATGCAAATCAAGCCAGCGAGAAATTAATATTTCAAGGATATCTTGAAGGTAATAGCAAAGATTTCCAGTTAAATTATTCATAATAAAATAATGAATTATTTGCCAATAGAATATAATCATAAATCCATTATCGTCTTTGCTATTGCTGAGAAATCACGTCAGCTAAAAAACAAAGATGGTCAAGAATATGAAGTTTTTCATGGTAATCATGAAGCAACATCACACCAAATGGAACATGCGATATTATTACAACTTATTGAAAAAATTGAACCTGTATTGGAAGCAAATAAAATACTATTAGATATTGATATAGATGGAGATTTAAATTCAAATAAAACCTTGAATAATATATCATATGTGAATAAAGTATATGCAGATTTGAAACATGTTGGTAAAAATATTAGAAAAAAAATTAGTAAGTTATTTTTTAAAAATTAATATCTATATTATCATTATCATTATTTATATGTTTTGTATTATAGCAAAAAAATATCATATGGAGAGATTATGAAAATGTTATTATGTCACATTATAATTCGTGTGTATATGCAGCTAGTGGACAAAAACTTGATGATAATAAGATTAGTGTGTCAGAAGCTGAATTAGAAAAAGTACAAATTGACAGTCTTGTAGCATATCTTTCAGATAATCATAATCTTTGTTGGAATAAAGTATATTGGATAAAAGAAAATCCTGATATTCAACTAAAAATACCACATTTGAAAGAACATACAATCAAACAAAGAGAGAATTTTCATCAGTTTCTCAAGGAATGTTTTTATATATCTACAAAATAAAGCTTAATTACTCATATCAGAACATCATATAATGAGGCATTCAATTATGTCAAGCTGTGCTTTCTTGATAAAAAGATAGACTTTTGAAAAACTTACAGTTTACGTCATGCTCTTGCTATCCTTCAATATAATAATGGTCTATTAGATATGTTGAAAATCACCCAGTTGTCTTGTAATCTCCTGAAATTATCTAAAACAGACAAGCAAAATATTAATCAAATAGCTAAAGAACGAGACAAACAAAAGCAAAGAAATTCTAAGAACATTACAAAACGAAATCAGGAACGTGCTAAAAAAATTCAAGAACAGAGAAGTGACCTAGAAATGTTTAATTGGGATAAGGTGAGTATAAACTTGGTTAAATTTAATAAATTATGAATAATGTTATATGCTTTTCAGGATTATATTTCCTATGGACGCAGCATTGAAGAAAAAATCAAAGCCAAAGAATTCAAACCTATATTTGCCACATAAATACCTGATTTTGAAAAAATCTTGAAATGTCAGGCTTGTGAGACTTTCCCTAAATACTCATCATTAGGCTTATATCGGTATCATAATTTTTGTCTTAAGTTTAAATGGTACCAGGAATTTCCAAATAAAAAATACATGCCACAAAACTCAAAGGTGATTGAACTTAATCCACCTACACCATATGATGTACTCATAGAAGTATTTGATTATCAAGAATTTCGAGATATTCAGGAATGGGCAATATTGACATATGTTAGTGGTAAACACATCTTTATTTCAATGCGAACAGGTGCAGGAAAACTATATGTTATTTGATCTCTGCAATTTTGCGCAGAGGGTTAACTATTATAATAAATCCTCTGATGTCTCTCATTGATGATCAAGTGGTAAGTCAATTTGATAATTCATAATCAATTACAAAATAATTTATCTAAATTTTGTATAGATTGAGACAATTGCCGCTGGGATTGGTTATGCTAGTGTTTATGCTGGAGAACATCAACCCTTGCGATATTTTGAAAAAGTTTTCTCTGAAATTGCCATTGGACTAACTAGAATAATATATATAACTGCAGAAAGTTTTATTAATAATGAGTCATTTACAAAAATGCTTTTGAAATTTGCTGAACGCATGCCTATATCTTTCATAATAGATGAAGCACACTGTATTATAGAGTGTAATCATTTTAGGTAAAATACAGGATTCAAGCTCAGTTTAGTAGTTTTTTTTTAGTAGCAATACTTATTTAACTCGAGTTTTGCTTATAGAGAGTCTTGGGGTCAACTTGAAAAAATCTCCATTTTGTTTCCTAACAGTTCAATCATGATGCTTACAGGAACTTGCAAGGAAGTTGACGCTCATGCAATATTAGAAAATCTCCATCTTGCTCAACATGATGTCGCTATTGTCCGGGGAACATATTTTTCACATCCAGAGCTCACAATGGAAGTGCATTCTAAAAATACTAAAGAAAAAACAGTTGATAAAATCATCACATTGTTAGAAGAATTGAAAGATGGAAAATGTATTATATATTGTTCAATGGTACACGCATGTAATGACGTTTATGAGCAACTTTGTGAAAAATCAAATCTCCAACTGGCAATAGCCGTATATTATAGTTCACTAGATAGTGAAGAAAAAAAAAGAAATTGAAATTATGAAAGAATAATATAATTCAACTTATGATTGCGACAAGTGCTTTTGGTATGGGCCTAAATGACAAACGAGTTCGGTTGGTAATACATTATACATTTCCATTAAGCATAAGTAAAGAAATATTATATTAAAAGCAAAATTATTACAAAAACTAATATTTACCATTCTCAATATAGGCATGCTTGTACAAGAAACTGGAAGAGCAGGAAGAGATCGTAATTCAGCAAAGTCTGTAATATTTTATACTCGTCATGATGTTTGCACTAATTATAATGTCATAACACAAGGAAAAGAAACGTAAATATTTGCTTTATAAAAAAACATTAGAGAATAATCAGTAATAATAATACAATTTATACATCAAGGGGAACTGAAGATATGAGTGATAGTACTGAGGCTATTAAAAGACAACTGAATTTAGCAAAAGGATGGCAACAAATATTTGAAGTTGTCTATTTTTGTCAAGAGAAGTATACTTGTAGAGAATTCATGCTGGCAGAATACTTCGCATGAAATGATGATACTTTGAGTTTACCGTGTGATCAGTGTGATAATTGTGTACGAATACAGAACGAATCAGTACAGGAAACTGATGTGGAGTCTAACGCACTCAAAATGGTGGAAACAGTTGAAAAAGTGGTAAGTAGGTTGAATGAAAATGCAACAATAACTTCGCCAAAGGATGTTATACAAGTTTATTGTCATCTCAAGTTGGATCATGAAGAATTGGCCTCATTGGAGATTTATAGTGATGAGAATTTGAAACATGGAAAACTGGTGAGAACCAAAGCTGATGCACTACACTTATTGGATTGGCTTATAGTATGTGGAGTGATAAAGGTGATGATAGATTTATACCGGCCAAACTCCAACAGAAACGCAGTACAAACGAATATTCATATACTTGGTGCAGTCGAAGGTGCTACCGCAATGATTGCAATGAAGAGTTGGAAAATGTGGCTTTATTCAAGAAAAAAATAAAATACATTTTTTAATTAACTAGAATTACTTTAGCCCTCATTTCTATTAATTAAAATACTTATCCTGTCCGTTAAAAATGACAACAGTTTAATTGTATTTCTAAAAATTAATAAATATTGGTGAAAATTGAGCAAATCCATTTTGGCGTGTCTTTTATTTTTTAGTTAGTGTCTATTATCAACATTCTCCGAATTGAAAGCTAGCAACTATTAATATTATAGTTGCTATCGAAATTTAATAAATTGATAACGATAATAAATTCATGTCGCACAACTGACAGACACTCATAAATCGTCAAATCGTTTGATATTTTTTGGCGATCCTTAACTATTAACATTCGTGAATTCAGTATAGAATAATATAGTTGTTGATAATATAATATTTGATTTGATTTGTAAACTTTTTATTTTTTTTTAAAAAAAAATAAAGAACTATAGTTTTTACAATATATTATTTTGAATTTTGTAAAGAAATAACAAGAATAAGTATTAGTATACAGTACATAACTTTAGTGGACAAATATTGTATTAGATTTTGTTATATGTAGATCACTCTACCCTTAATAATAATCACAGTACGAACTGTGCAACAGAATTATTTACGAAGATATCCACCGATCGATAACGATAACCTATATCAAACTAAGAAGGGACTCGAACAAAGTCAAAAGAGACGACAGTCAGTCATTTTATTTAACTTTTATTGCGAAATG